CAGAATTAAACGTCGTTTTATTTTTTATCATCAAATTGAGGGTTTCTAAACTAATTCACAATAAATAATAATAATTTAAAAATTCTAAAGGGCTTCGGTAGAGAAACATACCTTTTAGGGCAGATGAAAGACGAACACTGTGGCGGGAGGGGGAGGGCTGCCGAGAGGGGAGGAGAGTAGGGCGGGAGGGAAGGGGGGCTCGGGGGGTGGGGGGTGGTGCGGGCCCCAAAGGCAGGGTACACGGTCAATCCACACCTTTGCGAAATGGCGATACAGGGGGGTACGAGAAGTACCCACACAGAGGTGTCGCACCACACCGAGGAACTTAGTGTCAAAAACCAATCCACCGGTCTCCTAAACCATTTGCCGTCGAGAAAAAAAACTCAACAGATAAGATCATCCGGTCAATTGGAACCAGCCACCCACTAACCACCATCCAATCACCTTCACCTATGTGAAGATCCTTAACCGATAACTATTCAAAGGACCTTCAAAAACAACGCACGCAATCTGACGATATTTAAGCAGTCCTCTCCGGAAGGGGAGATTGACAGAGGATGAGGGGGGATTGTCCAGACCGGGGGAGGCACCTCAGCTAATTCAGTAGAGTGGCTACGCGGATTTTGGAGGGGCACCTGGAATTTACTAAGGGTGAGCGTAAGGTCAATCACAGGAGAAAAGGCTTCATAATTTAAAAAGGTGCAGCTGGGAGAGGAAAGGGCAGGCTCGGGACTGCTAACGAGCCAAGATCGCCCCGACTTCAAAATGTGAGGCGATAAAGTATAGGCCCACAACGGGAGGGGAGAAGGGGGGAAGGGGCGGGTGTCGGCTCACAGTCACAGGGGAGTCGCCGCGTGGTCGGGCCAATAATTGACCCCACGCGATGGCACAACTCAGTCCGAGTAAACAAAAAGGGTCAAGAGAACCGGCCGGAGGCCGTCAGTACATTTCACCATTCACATATCGTTTCGGCATTAGAATGCAAGTTGAGAGAGGAGGGAGGGAGGTACAGAAAACAATAAAATACAAGGAGAAAACGTACTGAACATGACTAGGAACATCAAATTACACATCTCCTTCACCAAATTAAACTAATACATAGGTCAAATCTGGAAGATGAATAATAACAATTAGATCTCAACATGGTCTGAAATTACATAATACTGGTCAAAATAACACACGCTTTACGGAACATAACCGTCTTAATCTAAAAATTCTCAATGATAAAAATAAAATACATCTAATAAGGAGATAATACACTAGTAAGTTCTCCTCATCCTGCGACTCTCCCTCCTTCTTTACCTAAAGACAACAGCCGCCAACTAGCGGAAGCATCTACAACTAACCGCGCGGGGGAGGGATAGAGGGGGGAGGAGCTTGGTTGTATATAGGAGAGATAGCAGTTAATATCATAATAATAGTTAAAATTATTTGTCCTAACAACAAAAGGCCTACGGGGAGGAGGGGAGAGGAGGCGGGAACCAAGCTGTTGCCGAGGGGGGAAGGGGGAGGGGAGAAGGGGGGTTGGTCGAAGAGGGGGTGGTCGGAAGGGGAGTGCAAGAGGGGGAAAGGGGGGTGGTTCGAATGAGGGAGGCGGGCGGGTCTGTCGAGGGGGCCGGGGGGCGCATCGGGAGAGGCCGGAGGAGGGTCGGAGGGGCGGCGGGCGTGCCGAGGGGGTCGGGGGGCCGTCGGGAGGAGGCGCGGAGGAGGGGGTCGGGAGGCGGGAAGTGGGAGGGGGGGAGTAAGAGAGAGTGAGAAGACTTGGGGGGGGGGGGGAGGGGGCGGCGGGGCTTATCCCCTCCCGACCCCCCCTCCTCCGGAACCTCCCGACCCCCCCTCCTTCGGCGGTGTCCGTTGCGGAAATCAGTTTAAAAGGTATGATTTTTCTACTGAGCTTTAGAAATTTCAATTTTATTATTAATTATTGTTGAATTTGGTTAAAAACCCTAATTATGTTGAAAAATAAACGAGTTCAATTCTGAAAATCCTAACTTAATTAAATACATGTTAATTCATTTGAACAACACCAGTAATCATATATTTTTTTTAAACACTTATAAACCCTAACTCATTTAAGTTTCATTCGTGTTATAAGTATGTGTGATTATTTAAGTTTGTGATGTGAAAATATGTGAAATAAATTTTTTTTAAAAATAGAGTGATATATAACACATTATAAATTTTTATAATGTGTTATAATCCAATTTAGGTGAATAAAAAAAACGTTATCCCTAGACTTTCGTCCAATAATTACATCCAATTATTTGGACTTATAATATATGATATACGACTCAGATTTGGATAGGAGACGAAGTTTTCTCCCAAAAATGAGAGTTTATTTTATATTATAGGAATAAAAAATTGGTACTGAAATTCGTAATTATTGGATCTGTCCTTCTCGGACGGGTTAGGAATATAGTTGTGCATACATCCAACTTTGTATACTTTGTATATTTTCATTCTTGAAAGTTTTGGCAGCACCTATTCGTTGTTCTCTGTGTACAATAAGCGTATGTTGTTCTGCGTTTCGGGTTATTACTGATACGCATAATAACATCCACACAGTTTACAGGGAGAATAGCGGGTAGGTACTGCCAAAATTTTCAAGAAATGAAAATATACAAAGTATATGAAGTTGGATGTAGGCACTACTATATTCTTAATGGATAGAAGCCTTCCTATGACAGCCGCAAGATTAGTGTAATTAGTTTCTACGTACGTTTTATATATATTTTATGTAGATAAATATTCATATTGTTAAATGATATATGAACGTATGTTTGATGTGTGTTGAATGTATAAGAGTAATGGATGTATTAGTAGTTGTGAGACTAATCGTATTTAATATTTATATATAATTTACAGATGAGGATAATTCCTGACAAGTCATGGATAGATATCCCTAGGTATCGTAGATTTCATGACACACGATACAAGGAGGGATGTGAAGCCTTCATGCGTTATGCGGAAATGAATCTGAGAAATTTAAGAAGCGGTGCTATGTATTATCCTTGTTGTAGGTGTAGGAATTTGAAGCTGCTGAATAGAAATGATATACGGATTCACCTAATAAAATCAGGTTTTGATGAGAAATATAAATACTGGAACTGGCATGGGGAAGGTATCACTGAAGATGAGGATCCAAATATGCATGTTGGTACGTCCGGTGGCCAACGAATAGATGACACAGAAACATTGTTGAATGATATTTTTCCTCGACCTACAGAATATGATATTGATGATAATGTCGAGGATGATATTGGAGACAAAAGTGAAGATGATAATGAAGTTGAAGCTGAAGAGGTAGGAGATGTCGCGAGTGTCGAAAATATTGATGATATGCATTCCTCCGCAGAAATAAAGCGAATAATGGAGCTACTAGAAGATAGTGAAAAGGACTTATATGAGGGATGTACCGAGTACTCCAGATTTTCATTTATGCTGAAACTCCTTCATATTAAGACACTTAGCGGTATGTCAGATAATTATTTTGAAATGCTTCTTGATTTGCTTCGAACTGTAATACCTGGAGGAGTGAATAGCATACCCCAAACAACTTATCAAGCTGAGAAGATTGTCTCTGCTCTGGGTCTTGATTATAATAAGATTGATGCATGTCCGAATGATTGTATTTTGTACCACAAAGCCAATAAAGACCTTCAAGAGTGTCCGACATGTGGAGTTTCTAGGTGGAAACAGCGCACAAATTCTTCAACAAGGATTACAACGGAGACAGAGATAACACAGAAGAAAATTCCAGCCAAGGTGCTTCGACATTTTCCATTAGCTCCTAGATTGCGAAGATTATACATGAACAAGGAAACGGCAAAGAATATGAGGTGGCATAAGGATGATCGAGTAGACGATGGTAAATTGAGACATCCTGCTGATGCTTTAGCTTGGAAGCATGTTGATAAAATTTATCCTCGTTTTGCCGAAGATTGCAGAAATGTAAGACTGGGTCTATCAAGCGACGGATTCAATCCATTTGGGGTAATGAGCTCTGGCTGGTCTACGT